TGAGAACCGCGCATGCCTGGAGGTTGAATTTGACAACTTTAAGTCGTACATGGGCTAGGAACATTCTTTGGAAATTTCAGCCTCCCAACTTTGCCAATTCCCGAGTTAGCCATTTTCCCGCCAAAAAACTTCGCGAGGCCGTGAGTGAGAACCGCGCATGCCTAGAGGATGAATTTGATGACTTTAAGTCGTACCTGAGCTGGAAACATTCCCTGAAGACTTCAGTTTTCCAGCTTTACTAGTTCCCAAGTTAGCCATTTTCCTGCCGAAAAATCTCACGAGGCCGTATGCGGGAGCCTTGCGCACCTGAGGGCTGAATTTGATAAATTTAAGTCGTATGTGGGTTGGGAACATTCCCTGAAAATTTCAGCTTCTCATCTTCACTAATTCCGCAGTTAGCCATTTTCCCACCAAAAAATTTCGCGGGGCCGTACGTGAGGACCGCGCATGCCTGTGGGATGAATTTGATCACTTTAAGTCGTACATGAGCTGGGAACATTCCCTGAAAATTTCAGCTTCCCAGCTTTGCTTCTTCCCGAGTTAGCCACTTTCCCGCCGAAAAATTCCACGGGGCCGTACGAGGGGACCACGCGCACTTGGGGATTAAATTTGAATTCTTTGAGTTATATTTGGGAGGGGAACATAGTCTCGGAATTTCAGCTTTCTGTCTTTTCTCGTTCCCGAGATATCAATTTTCCCGCCAAAAATTTCCCCCTCTCATACGCGGGGTCCAGACGTGCGTGAGGGATGGTACCGCGGGTCTGGGATGGCGCTTAGCCGGGATACCCAATAGCAAAATCTCGATGCTGGGACTTGCTTGGTTGCCGAGTTGAAATACGCGGACAGACGAACACACACACACACACAGATAGGGTGGTCACAATATGCGTTTTTGCAATTTGCATATAGGCAAAAACGCATGACAACCATTCATGCAGTTAATGACCTGAGTACTTCAAATCCCGTGTGAAAACGCATGATCGCACGGGCCCGCCGGTGCGTTCCGGCCTGGGTTTTTTCGGTATCTGAATGATAATTGATGATATGGCGAGCAAGCTTGTTAATTTAAATCAAACTGCCATTAAAATTAGTGCAGGTTTTTAGGAAAAAACAGAAATTTGTCTTACATTTCTTTGTAAAAGTAGGGCATTCCGTTCTTCGTTGCTGCATTTACCATTGTGCTTCTGTCTCATGAAACTGCAAACTCATTAGGTGCCAGAAGATGACGACTATGCTTTTCTACTGGAGTATCACAACATGAATGCTCGAACAGTTCCGATATCCGTGGAAGCAAGGCAGCACGGAAAACCGTTGATGCGAGGAACTGCTGTGCTGAAACACTGCCCCTATTCGTTAGTTCATTTAACAATTTTGATGAAGAGCTTCTTTTCTAATTGTATATAAGCCGCTGTAACTGTTTCCAAATAAGTATCTGTATTTTTACTCGGTCTGTAACAAAACATGCTTTCTTTCCCAAAGCATTTTCGTCGTAAATAAGGAAATCCAGCTGAACTCTTCAAAAGTTTGCAACAGTTGGCCTATCGAATTATGGCTCTTCTCAAGACAGCGACTTTTGCACAGATACTTCTGGGTTCAAATTTTTCCACTGAATTTTGATGGAAATTAAATGATAGCGTGTAACTAGAGTGCTCACTATTAGCGGCTGTAATCTGATCAAGTATTTTAGGACATTCTGTCGCGAAATGGTCTCGTCTGGAGGAGCCGTTGCACTAGCTCATTTAAAAGGGGGAGAAGATGCTAGCCTGATTTTGGATGTTGAACCGGAGCATGAGTTTGGATTAGCTGCAGCAAATTTAATTAGATCGAAGGAGTGGAATGCCGATTATCTTCAGCAGGTTAGATCCATTTGGTAAAATAGAGATAACATTTTTGGAGGGTTTCTTTTGCACAGTTTGCGGTTTTACAGGTTCCAGTTTGCGTTCGTAAAAATGGGCTGTGTGTAAATCAGTGGTTCCCACCAGCAGCAAATGCAATCCTAAACGAAGCGGAAGGGCAGATGAATGTGAATAATTCGATCTCCGGTGAAAAACTGCCATTTGTTGTTTCTAACTCAAAAGAGGTGGAAGTGATGGCGCTCGACGAAAATATGGTACGATGTTATTTCTGTGCACTGAGTTTACATGGGGCTTATCCATGAGTAGAACTGCCATTGAAGATGTTGCTACATCTCAAGCACTTTACAGGGTACAGTGGAAGTGTCCGGAGTTGTGCCGTCGCGTGGTCATTACGTTTTTATCGTGCAGTACTTCAACCCGGATAACACGCCACTGACCGTTGACGTGACGCTCCAAAATGGGCATCTTCATCACGGTGCGTCACTGTTTTTGTTCTAGCAACATTTTAGCCACTATACCATTCTGAAAAGTCAACGCGATGATTTGGCTTACTGCCTCGAAAGAAATTAAAAAATATAGGTTGCAATCTTCTTTTTCATTTCCACTAAGTATGTGTTGGCCATCATAATGAAGAAACAGCTAGCACTGCTGTGATGCGGAAGGTTGAGAATTCGACTTCGCCAGATTCATTCATTTGCTGTGGTGATAAGCTGATGCTGCCGCATACTAGGGGATGAAAACCGCCATCAGCTTTTTCTTGTAGTATTCGGAAGAGGCCATCACAGCTTTGTCAGCAAGTGGTTCCACTTGCCACATTCATTACGAGATGGGAGTTGCTGTCGGACTAGTTCTGAGTGCCTCCTCTTGCAGAGAGTGAAGACAGTATGCTTACTGGTTTTCAAATGTGCGTACGGCCTGAACCATTTGTTTTAATCGAAAACATTCGAAAATACATTATCTTATCTACCTGGCATTTCTGAATAGGACTGTACCAGAGATCTTCAAAAAAAAAAAGAGCGATATTCTGTTCAATTAAAAATTTCACATCTTTTTTTTTATGCGCTTTAACAAATAATTCGAGATTTTGAAAACTGTAAGCTGGATATGAGTTTGACAGAACATATGTTGGCAGTCACTGGCAGCTCTTGGAGCAGGTTTCATTATCTGTTACAAGGTTTTAAGCCCTCCTGAAGCAAGAGAAGAGAAAAAGGAATATTTCAGCACAGCTGCCTTTGTCATACTGCCCGAGCGTTATTGGTTGTCGTGCAGTAATCCAAGACAAAGAACGTCCAGATGTGACACAGTTTTTCATTGACGACAAGTACACTGCTTCGTTCTATTTCAACGAAAGTCAAAAAGGACCGGTATATATCGTAGGTTTTTTATGAAGCGTTAGTAGAATAAAAAAAGTCTTAAACCATAACTTAATTTTAATTTTTTTAAGTGTGACAGATAAGTTTACAGGGAAATTCTGTTTCCTGTGGATTCAGCGATTACTTGTTTTTTATATTGAATTTCTAGTCCTGAGTATTTTTTTTTTTGGTTTTTTGCGTTTCAGCATGCACACTAAGTGCCAAAAGCGATACGGTTGTGCTTCTCTACAAATCTGTTGCTACGGTTGTCTAATGGGTAAATGCATTAGTGATGCAGGAATTGGTAGTAACTTTTTTTTTTTTAAACTGTTATAGCACACAACAAAATTTCAGAGTTATGATATGCTCGAAATAAAGTCACTTTTCATATACGTACTATCATTATCACTGCGTGCGCTCAGGATAGCCTCTCGCATAAAATGCGATTGCGCTTGTCACGAGTTCACGTCATTATTTGGGGCAGCACTTCCATCCCATTCTGATGGCTGGGACTGCCTTTATGATAGCTGTTCATTTTTAACACCCGAACTCTTTAATCTTCAGGCAATGTTTTAGGATTCAATAACAAGTCTGCCATTCCATTCGTATAGCGACTCACTACTGTCGCCTCAACCTGTTGATGTTTCGAGTGAATATATCCAAAAGTGCAGCACCAACAATTTCGAAAATGAGTGAGTAATACGGATTACTTTTAAAGAAGATATATATATATATATGTATATATATATATATATGCCAAGAGTATTGAACAGGTAGTAAGTACTAGCTGGAATATGCAACTCAGGATCAAATAACCTAACATAACTAAGTCTGGCGTTTGGGAACATCCCAATAACATCACTGACATGGAATATCAGTGGCGGTCCTGGTATATGCTATGAATATAGGGTACATATATATGCATGTATATGTATATTCTTAGAATCCTTGGCATACGTATAAGGGCTCGTACTTTTCTGTTGTAAACTTTTGCGCCAGGCTGTTAATCAGTAAAACAACTCTCAGTTTTTATCCTGGATTAGTTACCTGTGTTAGAATTGCTAATTGTTTGTTATTGCCACGCATTTTTTCTTTTAGCCCATCAAGCGTAATAGAATACTGCCGCCAAAAAGTTTTCTCTCTCACCTCGGAATACAACATGGCAGCGATGCCTTGTGAATGCAGCTCTCAAGGAAGCACCAGTTTTACGTGTGAAGAATACGGCGGCCAGTGCCCATGTCGTCCGAATATCGTTGGACGCCGGTGCGATCGCTGTGCATCTGGCTATTACAGCTTCCCCGACTGCATCAGTTCGTTGTTCTTTTTGTTTCAGTACTGCTGGCCAAAGTTACATGAAAAATAGCTTATAAGCACACTTCTATAGAAAGGAGGATTTCATGTAGCTGGCGGATTTCAGAATGCAGATGTCCGGATAATCACTTATGTGATGAGCATATTGGTCAGTGTTTTTGTCCGCCACATGTCGAAGGCAAGCACTGTGACAAGTGTGTGCCATACGCTTTCGGCTATGATCCACTTATTGGATGTCAGCTTTGTGGCTGTCAGCAGAATGGATCAGAAGCTGGCCAGCTTCAATGTGACCCGAATAATGGCCAGTGTTTGTACGTTTTATCCATACAGTTCTTGTTTTGACTGTTTTTTATGCGTTTTGTGCTGTGCAACAGCTGCATAAAACGCATGCTGTCATCGGGTTGTCTGTGTGTGTGTGTGTGTGTATGTCCGCAGCAACTGTCCGCGGTTTTCAACTTGGGAACCATAAAAGCTCTATGAAGCTGAAGGTTTAGGGGAATGTTCCCCCTCCACGTGTGACCCCGAAAATTTAAGTTAAGCCTTCCCATGCCAGTGGGTAACACATACGGCCCCATCGGTAACACATACGGTTTTGGCGGGGAAATTAGTTCGCGAACCACAAAAGCAAGGAAGTTGAGATTTTATAGTATTCCCCTGCTCAAATGCAACTCGGCAAGTTTGAATTCAGCTTTCCCCTACGTCTTGGTACCACGTACGACCTTATGAAAGTTTTGGCGAGGAAAATTATTATCTTGGTAACCACGAAAGCAGAGTGCTCACGTACGACTCCAGAAGTTTCATGCACGCCTAGATATCAACGTCCTCATGAAGATTTTGGTGGGAAAATCATTACCAAGAAGCCAGATGAACTAGGAGGCTGGAAATTTCACGAGGATGTTTTCTGCCCATGTAGGGACTTCACAAGTTCAAATTTAATTCCCAAGTGTGCCGGGGTCTCATGTACGACCACATAAAAGTTCTGGCGGAAAAATCACTCGAAAGCCAGAAAATTAGGAAGTTGATTTTGAGAGGATGTTCACCGTCCAAGGTTTCAAATTCAGTTTTCACGCGCCGGCACGTGAAATTTTTAGTGGAAAATTCCGCAACTTAGAACCAGACAACACTCCAATGTTTTTGCACAGACCAAAGCGCAAAGCAGTAAAAATCCTCAACAGCAAACGTTCGCTGGATGGAACTGTGCAAAACGCATTATCGCATCGACTATCCTGGTGTGCGCTGCTGTTTGTTTTTACTGCCGAAAAGCAGTGGGCAGCGGAACGGAAGTTTTTTTTTTTATTTTCCAAATGGTTTCTATGTTTTGAAGCTTAAATTCGGAGTATGTGGCCTTTGCTATATGATTTGTGTTTTACTTTTGAAGAATGGGGACTGTACTTCTCATACCTTATCTTTTTATACTGATCGCGAAACGCATTGCAGTTACTGGGAAAATGAGCAGTCAGCTTTTTCAGGTGTAAAGCAAATGTGGGCGGAAGGAAGTGCGACAAGTGTTTGCCAGGATTCTATGGTTTCCCGCATTGTTACGAATGCGCCTGTGAAGTAAAGGGCACCACTGACGAAATTTGTGAAGCAACCAGTGCTGCTTGTAAATGCAAGGTATGCCATGCTTTTTCGTTTTGCTTCTGTTTTGCTTTGTTTTTTTATTTTCGACAGAAGAAATTCCCAAATTTTGCTTCTCTATTTGGTTTTGCGTCGTTTTTCAGAAGAATGTTATCGGCGAAAACTGTGACATCTGTCGTCCAGGCACCTTTGATTTACGGGCTTCCAATCCTGACGGCTGTGCCGAGTGTTTCTGCTTCGGTGCCACCGATCGCTGCCGATCGTCATTTCTTCCTGTCACCTTCGTATGCTCTGATTTTGAACATTTTATCTCTGTGCCGAATGCCAAAACAATTTTTTATAAACTTCTTTAAAAAATTCAGCAAGAAGGGATAAGATTGATTTCTCAGAAATGCTTGTCGTTTTGCGTTTTGCTATTTGTTGTGCTTTACGTAAAGAATTATTATAAAATCATTGCTTGGTTGCTAAATTTATCATGCTTGTTAAATTTTTTATTTCTGGTTGACAGAAATTGCCTTTTTCAAGGTTAATTTTGACGAAGAGGCTTGGAATGTGAGTCCAAGTGGATCCGTATCGCGCATAAATGGTAAAGTGGCTTATCAGTCTGAAGGTACTGGTGCCGAAGATGTCTACTTTCTGGCTCCATTGGGAAATAGCCGCGATTTTACTGCGTCCTATGGGTTACAGGTATAAATTTTAGCACTTTTATTCTACATAATTGACGTTTTCGCAAAACCAGATATGCATCCTGTGGTGCATTTCATTTACGATATTTAGCGCACTAAGCACCTTTTCAGTTGTCATTTACTGTTTCCTCGAATCCGCGAAATGGCGAAACAAAAATGAGTGCTGCCCCAGACATTCAGCTTGTAGGAAATGGCACCATCTTGGATTTCTGGGCACGTGAGCAGCCAGCTGACCCGCGAATACCATTCAACGTTGAAATTAAACTTTTGCCTGTAGGTTTTCCAGAGATTTTTCTTGAATGTTAACATTTCTTAATATATTGCATCTAATCATATGTAGAAAAAGTTAACATGTTTTTTTATCCACTGTGGTAATTTGTTACAGTCTGTTTTATGTTATGCGTTTTCTACATTTGTGTAGATTCAAAAACGCATAATGACGTAGCCTGATTTTTGTGGGAATGCTAGTGTATTTGTTACCTATTTTCAATTACAAACCTGAGAACGTACATGTGGAGAGTGTATTTTTAGCACTTAGAGAGCATATGCAAATTTGGTTTCGTCCGTTGAAATTTTGCAAAAAACTCGGTCTCTCGGTGGTCTCGATGATTTGCCCTTCAAATTATTGTTCGCGTTAAATTCTTTCCTCTGGCACTGAATACATACATAAAAACAAGAAATTTTTAAAGTTTGGTTCAGTATCCTGATTTCATGCCTGATTATCAAGAATCTCAGATCTTCTTTTCTTCTTTTTCTTCCAAGTTGAACTATTTGACCACACGCGTTTAGGAAAATTTTATGGGATCGACTGGGGAGCCGACAAGTCGTGCCGTTTTGATGATGGTACTGCACGATCTGGATGCCCTTCGGTTCAAAGCTTGCTATCATTCAAACTGTGAATCGGCAACAATTAGTGAATTACAACTTGAAACAACTAAGGATGATCAGATCAATGGTGATAGCTATACGGCTACTTCTGTGGAGATGTGCCAGTGTCCTCCACCATACACAGGACTATCCTGTCAGGTATATCATTTGGATATGAAAAAAAAAGAAACCGTTCGGATCTTGCCATTATTTGTACTTGATAAGGGTGCGCATATAGTGTTGGTAAATGCAAAAATTAATTTTTCCAAATAGCTGGAGGAGCTAATCTATTAAAATTTTTGGCTCTCATGCACACAGTCCTTCAAAAAGTGAGTGCGCGACTTGGGCCATCCTGAATACAAATAATGTGTAAGTGACGGTATTTGAGGCGTCTGCACGACAAAGTAAAGGTTGCAACATGCCGGCAACGTAGTTACATTTTTTGTACAGTATATATGCTGGGTGCATATTTGCGCTACACATATGAAGCACGCAATGTGGCCCCCTCTTTTCGGAGTTAGCTGCCTTCAGTACAGATGATTTTCAAGTACATCATATGTATAAATGTGTCAGTAGTACGAAATGCGGGCAAAATAACCTTAAAAACAAGTATAAATAATACACCCAGCACTGTGCGCATTATTTGTGCGTTGCTTATGAGGTACATGTATCCTGAAATTCCTGTGAAATTCTAGATTTATTAACGACACATCGCTTTCTTCTGAAATTTTAAAAGAATCTAATACATACTGGTTTGTTAGCAATGCGCACCTGGGTACCATCGTGTAAACAGTGGACGCTATCTTGGAGCGTGTGTTCCGTGCAACTGCAATGGGCATTCTGGAAGCTGCGATCCAGCCACTGGAATTTGCTTCGATTGCCAGCACGACACAGTCGGTGAACATTGTGAATTTTGTCGTGAAGGATTTTATGGTGATGCAACCACCGGAGGACCTTATTCATGTATGCCATGTGCTTGCCCCATGGCAACTGATGCGAATAATTTTGCTATAAGCTGTCAGGCATGTCTCTTTTTCATTGTTTTTTTTTTCGTCTTATGCGCTTCACCATTTTGACCGAGAAGCTACTTTTGCTCTTTTAAGAAGCCAGTACTAAACTTCGATTTTTCTTCGTATAATCAGCATCATCAGTTTTGACGCATTCAGCCACTAGCTATTTAGTATGTGAAATGCAGACATTTGTTATGCGTTTTACCCTTCCAAAAATATTTATTACATGAATGATTACTACATTGAAATTTATATGAATATCTGCTACAAATTACATGTACACACATGCGTAATAAAAATGCATATCTTCATTTCTTGCAAATATATGTCTACGTAAAATAATTACATGTGGAAATCTGATACATAAAAAACACAAATACTCAATACATTGATAAAAATTATTTTTAATATTAAATACTCTTCACCACTTACTGACAAAGTTTTTGTCAAGGGTATTTATCAGTAACTAATGACAAAGTATTTGTCAGAGAAATTTATCGGTATAACTTTTCAAGTATCGTGACTGTACCACTATTGTGAATAAAAATCTAGCAGTTCACAAATTTACTAACTGATTATATGTTTTGAATTATTAGGTAGTAGTTCGCTGTTGTTTCTAACATAAAAGTGGTAAAACCATAAATTGTATAAAAAGGTGGCTAATTGTGGGCGACAGAATTAAGAGGGACAGTGAGCTAAAATTTTAACAAAGATTTATTATCCTGAGCTGAATACACTTTAAGCCAGTACTGCAGCATCATCAGCCTGAAAGTTTGCTGTTGAGGTGTCCTTTTCCGCCTAACATATCCTCAAAAACTTGCTTTTTCTACAGAAATATCAAGTTCCGCATAGCCAAAATGAGTTCTTTGGTTTTGCAGGTTAGTGAAGCAGGTTTGCTACAGTCTTGCCTGTGCAAGGAAGGATACACATCAGACCACTGTGAGCGATGCGATGTTGGATATTATGGAGATCCAACAGCAATGGGTGGCTCTTGCCAAAAGTGTGACTGCAGTGAGAATAACGATCTGAGTATCGATGGCTCATGCCATCCTGTTTCTGGAGACTGTGACCTCTGCCTAAATAATACAGGTGGAACACACTGCGAACAATGCAAATCATGGTACTACGGAGACGCATTGGTTGCAAAGAACTGCACTGGTGAGGAGGCCATTTTATTAAATGTTGAATTTGCGAATCTAATTTTGATACTTGACAGCGATTCAGGATACTTTTCAACAACTGGGCATAGCAGTGATGCATCCAAGAATAATGCTTTACAGAATGTGCCTGCAATAAGTGTGGTAGCTCAGTGTGCGACCACAGATCCGGACGATGCGAATGCCATTCAAACGTAGAAGGAGATAATTGCGATCGTTGTGTGGTAAAGTTTTTTTAAAATATATGTAAAGGTCAAGGAACAGCACCCATTCTTCCTGTTCCTTCGAAGTGAACGGGACTTTATTGACAAACCAGACTATTTGCTGTTGAGTTACACTTAAAATATTGGGATAGTGAACCATGTTGGCTGGACACGAATATCCGCATTAGCACCTCTACGGACCACTTATGATTTTTATAGAGGAAAAAAAAATTGCCATATACGAGTGAATATGAGCCAGAGCTCTGAATTAGTAACTGTGAAAAACAGAAACCCAGGCTGGAACGCACCAGGCGGCCGGTGCGATTATGCGTTTTTGCACTTCTCGTGCCGTGGCAAGATCGCAGGAAATCACAGTAGCTAACCCTGCAACATACTGACCCTCGAAGTTCGAGAAGTTAATCGTGCAACTATGTGGTATGTCAGTTGTAGATGTCGGTTTCAGTGACCCGGCAAATGGAAAGGTGCTG